GTATTTATTTTATACCAATAAAAATATAATTACTAACCTCAAATTGGTAAAGGTCACTTGGTGTAAATTTATATTGTTTTGATTGATTATACATTTTATTCCAATTAACAAACATTTGAACGAATAGTTCATTTTGATTTTTTTCAAAAAGACCTTCAAGAACAAATGACATAATTTTCATCATGTGCTTATACTAAGATGCTGTAAACAAAGCGAGATCCGCAAGTCCATTATTGAATACTTTTAATCCTGGATGGCGTAGTATTAATCCAAGTCTCAAATTTATTTTATTAACAAGGGCATTACCTCTATAAGCTTTCAAGAGATCTCATGTATATTTAATCATATGTTCAAAGAGTCCAAGGTCTAAGTGGTGCATTCATTCAGGAATAGTTGCTGTATAAATATTAAAATTTCTATAACAAAAATAAATAAATAAGTATATATATAATTCATAAAGTATATACTAAAAACTTAAATCTTATTATTAATAATATATACAAAAAGCTTAAACCTTATTATTAATGCACATTAAAAACTTAAACCTTATTATTAATGTATACTAAAATAAAGTTTAAACTTATAAATGATTCCAAAAACCATTAGTTTCTTCATGCAATAAATAATCTTTGCCTTGTTTTAATGCAATGACTTGTTGCATTTGATCCTCTGTTCGAATAATTTTTTGACTTACTGGTAAATTAATAACATTTAATTTATTATTTTCTACAAGGCAGTATGACAAGGGCATGCACATTTTGTTCCACTATAAGTTAAGCATGATTTGCAATTTTCGGGCCAGTCTCCAATAATACTAGCTAGTATCATATTACATCTTAAATTACAATCATTAACATTTAATAATACTCCAGAATTATACTGTAAACGTAATGGTTCAATTAATATATTAATACATTTGTGAAAGGTTGTTCAAATATTTTGTCTAAATTCTGGTGTATTTCGCTCTTTTTTAGTTCCTTGTAATGTTGGTATTATACCAACAAGTGCCTTAAGCTTCAGGTTTATTATGAAATTTTGTTGGAATATTACCTAAGCTAATATATATTGGATGTTTGGAGCTTTTTCCTAAACGGTCTAGTGCAGTTGCATCAGAGTATAATATTATTGCTAAAACCTTATTGTCAGATGGAATTTGTTGTTGTGCATGGTGCCACCACTTACAATTATAAAATTCAGAATATACTCTTTCTTGATGACTCTAAAAATAGAACAAGTAATATTTAATATTTATTTGATTAACATAATTTTCTTTAATTTTAATCATACTTATAGAAAAATCTTATCTGGTAATTTTCATATTCAAAAATTAATTAACAAAGCTTTTTTTTAAATATATAAATATAACTTGATTTTTGCTAATATATATATAGAATTATTGGCTAAACTTGTATGTAAGCTATATAAATTTAAAACTTGCATAATCACAATTAAAATCAGATAAGATGCATATAATAATTATATTTTAAATAATAATGCATATTATTTGCAGCAATTATATCTATATATAAATTTTTTTTGACAAATTTACTTACCTCAATCGATATATAAATCTCTTGGTAATCAAAAATACAGTTTGTTGCGATCGCTTTATTTTTGAGAATTTCTTTAACTGCTGAAATTATTGGCTGGTATTCAAATGAATATGTTTGATTATTTATTTTCATAACAGAAGTTGAAAAAAACTTAGTATGGTTTTTTTTTAATGTATCCAAGAAATGAAGTCCATCTTTTGTTGATCGAGATAACATTTCCTTTGAAATCTGATCATGTTTTTTTATAAATTTTAATATAGCATTGCCAGCCTTATAAGAAAGCTGATATCTAATTATCTAATATTAAAAAGAAATACTATTTAAATACTTTAAATAAATAAATAAAATTCTTCAGGTTAAAAAAAAAGGCTAATTAAAAATTATATCTTTCATGAGGCTTAGATTATTATATTTAGAATTTAAAGAGGTACATTATTAAAAGTAATTGTAATACTTACTATATCTATAAAATCTCTATACGCTGTATTTGGAAATTCTGCATTATCAATATCACTAAGTTCACTGTCATTACTACAAATTTCTTCACTAATCTTATCATTTTCTAATATGTTATTCTTAAACATTTGATTAGACTCGCAATTTCCTTCAATAATATGACCAAACTTACTATTTTCCTCAAATATCTGATCATAATTGTAAGCTATTTGCTGGTTATTGATTACTATTAACTCAAATTCAGGAGCTTCGCTAGTAATATCTTGGATATCAAATGTTTTACAAGCTTCATCTTCGATATCTTGAATATTGAATATCAGGTTCGGGTTGTTATTTTGCTCATATGTAATCTCTGATTCATCAGAACTACAATTATCCATGCTCTCATTTGAACTAGTAGCAGTATTATATTCAACATGATAATAGGTTTTGTGAAATTTTCTGTAATTTTTGAGACTTGTTAAGCATCTGAAATTTCTTTTATACACACTACAAACAAACATGAAAAAAAAAATCCATAAAAAGAAAATTAAAAAATTAAAAAAAAAATAAATAAATAAAAAAATTAAAATTAATAGAATGATTAGTAATCTTCTTTTTTACTTTTTTTTCGATTTTTGGTTTTATTACAAGCATCCGCTAAAAAAGAAACAAGTAAAAAATTAGAACTCTTTCTGCAAATCCATTGCACAAAAATCAACTAAAAAATCATTCATCTAAAAACACTTATATCTTTTTATTTACTAAGCCAACCTGTCCTGGCGTCTTAAGTAAACTTGTTCAGTTCATCAATTCATATATACCCTGAAAATTTATAAATTTATCTTTTACACTTATAGAGAAAACTGTACTGACAGTCTTTGGCCTCCAGTTTTAAAATTTTAATCCTCTCGCAGTTTCTACTGCAATAACTTATCTTATACCTTTAATTAAAATTGTAGTACACATTTGCTCGGTCAAAACAAGCTTTGAAAGAAGAATTTTGACCCAATATTGGCTAATATATAGCTAAATTTATCTTTTACTCTCTTGCAAAAGCTTTTACCTACTTTTTGTCCCTATCCCATTCCCTTTTTCTCTTACACAGTTTTCATGTAACTATATCATCATTTCCTAAATTATATTTTATTAATTTACACCAAAATTCTGTGCTCTATCTATTTATAGAAATTCATTGAACACAATCAGTTACTTCCTTATTTGGTTTTTATTAATTGTACACAACAATTTGT